TATAAATGTTTTTTTTTATAGTTCTGTTCACTTTTTAGGGCTACTTATTAAATACATAATTGAAATAATAAAAACCAGAGTACCCTGAAATTTATTTTTATTTAAACTGATACGTATTTTGGCACTAAGGCCATGATCACAGTATGAGTGTTATAAAAGTAGGATTTCTCATAGGATTTCTTGTTTATTTACTTTTTGTCAAGTTAGGTTTATTGTGTTTTCGGCAGTTGGTCTGTGAAGGGGATTTTAAAGGTAAAAAAGTATCTTACTAATATTATAAATCTGAAAGTTTGTGAGTTTGTGTGTATGTTTGTGTGTGTGTTGCTCAATCACGCATAAACTACTGGACGGATTGGGCTGAAATTTGCATGCTGATAGCTCACATTCCCGATTAACATTAAAGCATATTCTTATCTCAAAAACCCTTTCGGGCCTCCGCCCCAGTGGCTCTGTAGTTCCCCATGTTAATCTTATGATTTTTCATATTTAAAAGGAATTAATGAATCTTAACAGCTGTCTCAATTAAACAAGTTGGTTCTGTTCTATGATGTTCAACAGCATAAAAGTTACAAGGATTACCAACAGGGTGCAGCACTATTAATTTCTTTTTTTATTTATGACAACAGCTAATTTCCAACCAAAAGGTGAGTGAGCGTAGCGAACGAACTTCAACCTTGAGGCGAGTTAGAATGAGCCATGCGAATACTTATGAAGTTAAACGGGGCGAAGCCCGCGGGTACAGCTAGTTATGTATAATTGTCAATGAGTTTTTAATAAATCAAAATGGGTAATATCATTACAAAATGTGGAACTGATTCACAGTTTACTTTAATGACAAACATTGTCATAGGCTTATGTTTATTGCCACTAGTTATACAGTCAGTCTTCTCTGATTATACACGCTGATTATCCATCCAGTAAATATTTACAACTGTAGGAAGGCGATCACGTGACATGATTCCCCTTATCATCCCCCACCAAAAGACAGGTTCGTCGGTGGTGCCATGGTGCTGGGGTCAGTATTGAGTAAGCATAAGTACAACTCACTCACACTCACCGGGGAGACTCGGCCATCATTCCGCCGCCGACGCTGTCAAACGATGTTTTGTATTCTTTTGTGTTTTTTTTTTGCAATTTTCTGGTATTAATTAATACTATTAATTAAGCATACACCAATATACAAAACAATTCATGGTTGGTTTTAAGCTTCACACAAAGGCTGCAATGATAGTAAGAGCATTTTAATGGTTTATGCCACATAGGATAATATAGTTTCTTCACTGTAGGGAAAATTTGCTAAAACAAGTTGTTTGGTCTGTTTAAAATTGCTTGAACTGGAGCCGTTGTGACTACCTATACAAGAAAACCTTTGGATACAAAATCAGAAAGGATCCTCCTCGTCGTAACTGCATACATTTTTGATGAAGTGAATTTTCCTCCAGGTTTAAAGTATATAAGCTAGACACTACTTTTGTAGATGCATTTGCTGACTAGGGGGACGGACATGTAAAATAAAGATCTGATACAAATGTCAACAATCCCAACTAACAAACAAACCTGTCTCAATAGCTAGTTAGTCTCTAGTAAAAAGTCAAAACTGTAGTTATTCATACCATTATGTAAAGGCAGTGCTTCATTTAACAGCGGAACGGAGTTCCAGTACCTCTCTTTCGTAAAGATAAAAATATTGGCATAAATAGGTACTAATCACTTAAGATTACAGTTCCGGCACCTCACTTTTTACAAATCAAAAACTGTGTATAGGTGGTAAAACTTGTTCTTAGTTTTTTGAAAAGCCTAAACATTTAACCTTGGATTAAAATATCTCATTAAAATGTATAATCCATTCAAACACATGTCCTCAGAAGATGGTAGAAGTCTTTTTACATACAGTACCTAAATAATTCAAAGTTTTGACATATTCTTACAATTTGTGCATGTTAAAATATATAAAAATACCCCTGCTGCAGCAAACCTGCAGACTAAGCGAATTTCCATTAACCTCATTGGATTTACACTAAAATGCCTCCATAAAAATATCACATTTATTTCCTATTTAAATAGAATTAGTTTAATGAGTACTGTTGTGACGCTTGCGTCACAGCGGCGACGCATCAGACGGTAAGGATCAGCTGATTGCTGGGGAACGGGGGAGGGGGTAGCAAGCGTAGAGACAGAGTACAGTCGTGTTCTGAAGTCAAGAGGGTGTAGGCTTAGGTCAAGGCTGGACTCCATCGCCGAATCGATAAGTTTTCCTTAGTTTAAGTAATTTTAAAATATGTTCTAATTTTTTTCAGGAAGGGGGGGATTAAGGGGTTAGGGAACTATTAATTATTTCAGCTTAATATGTAAATTATACTTTAGAGCACACTCGTACCAGTCCGCGAGCTAGGGGGGCCCGTGAGCCTTGACCGGGATTTTCGGTAAATTTTACCGGCACACGGGCCCGCGATAGTGTGACAGGCTTAGCCACACGGGTCCCCTATCATAAAAATATTTATATGAGAATTAAAATAAGTTTTTTATGATGAAAATTGGTTCAAACCTATAGTTCAAGTAGTTTACAACAGCTAAACTAAAACTATTACTTGACCGATCGATATAAATTATCTACCAACATAAGTAAAAGAATTGTCATCAGTCATGCGGGTTGCATTAACTGTCCTCGTGGATTGTGTGAAGGCGCAGTCAAAATTGGTTGCATAATAATATGGCCGTATTTATAACCAATGTGGCCTCTGGCCTAGAAGATAAAACATTAATGTTAATCCTCCTAGCCCCCAGCGGGTGACACAATAGAAGATCCTCTATGCTGATTCGACTAAATAAACTTGACAATTTGTTACGACCAAATCGGCAAATTAACCTAGGTGGCTAGGGCACTATAGCTAATAAATGATTCCATTCTTTCATTGATGCTAAAGATTGATTTTCATTTCATTTCATGTCTTACCTACTATTAGGAGGCTGCCCTTTAGATTTGTTTACTTTGCACTTTAGATTTGTTTTTACATCGAGTCAGGTAAAAAATGTTACTTACCTAAGGGCCTCAGGCCAAATAAAATCGGTTCAAAATCGGGTTGCTTTGGAAACGGTTGATTTTTATAATAGGCCTATAATGTCGATTTTTGAGCCGAGCAGATTCTGGACTACAAGCTTGAGAGATCAAGCACAAGGTCAGAAAGTCAAGCTCGAGCCGATTTTCTCAGTATTCAATACAATAATGCACAATTAAAAGTAAAAGTTTTTATATCCATCATGAGGATCAGGCTCTCGAAATTGAAAGATTAGGCCTACGCTTTTGCCGCGATCGTGGATATCGACGAGAACATTTCCCCGCGGGTGACGATGACGATGTCTCCGCGGCCGCAGATGTTCAATATTTTACCGCGATTGCGGAAGACGATAATGACGTTTCTTTTTTAGCGAGATATATATCTAGGATTTAGCCGCGATTACGGAAAAATGATTTACCCGTCACCACCGACGGGTCGCGGGGAGATATTAGGCCGTGATATTAGATTGGGCCGTGAAAGCGGGAGACGATGCTACTGCTATCTAATGATGTCATAGGTTTGGTTGCATTTGCAATCACGGTAAACTATGATAATGTTTCTTCCATGACTTCTGACTACGGGAATTATTTACGATTTTTCCGCGATCATGGAAGACGATAATGACTTCTCGGGAGATGCCTTGTCAAGTTTATTGCAAAATTGCAAGTTTAGGTGGTAATACATGGGAAAATGTTTTTAAAGATCATTGTGAGAGGGGGGCCCGGCGAACAAACTTGCGGGGGGGGGGGGCCGAGGGTTCTTATCGCCGCCACTGACTCGTACCCATAAGGTACGAGTGGAAGTTTTCAGTGTTCTTTTCCTTATTATATTAATAATAAGATGCATTAATAATATTAGATTATCAAAATGGCTGTGATATGGATGTGGTTTGGCTCAGTAATTAATTTAAGATCATTATTATTCAACTCAGAATGTCGCTAGCAACACTAGATTGATTATATTGAGCCTTAACGATCCTTATGAGTCCAGTACCATTGCTATAAACTATAGTAACACGCTTCACTTAGTTTTGCTGCAACAGGGAGGGTAAAAGTGTTTTTTTTTATGTTAATAGTTTGGTAAGAAATGAAAGTATTTTCCATATTTGATCAAAATATGTTCATAAACAAGCAAACTACAACAGTTGACTTATTCTCCATAAGAATAACATGTTAATTTTAAATTTAAATTTTTTTGGAATTTTTTCCATAACCATTAGGCGCACAACAATGCTTCAGTATACTAAATTATTTGTTTTTTTAAGCTCTACAAAATTGTTTGGAAAGAAATTGTAAAATTTTGTGTTTTTAGGGTCGAAAATGGGAAAAACCTATTTTTACCCCATAAAACCCCATATGAAACCCCTGTTCCCATAGTTCGATCATGCTGGTTCGCGAACTCGTTCGAATAAATGTAGGTTTACACGTTTTATGCCAAATTTCATCGAAATCAGATCATTTTTGTTCGAGTTATCGCGCTTACGGACACATATATATATATGAATTTGAACGGATGGTGTTTTTGGCCTCTAGGGACCTCAAAACGAAAAAGTAAATCGGTCCCGGGTCCAGGTCTTACCATGAGTACTACGGTAATAGCTTATTCCCTGTATGGGAAATTCGCTGAAAGAGTATTTTTTATTGAATACTTTAATACTTTTCAATGCAATGGCAACCATACAAAGTAGGTATATTACGCCAAGTATGAATGGAGATGAGTGTAGGATGAGTGGCGCGATCTTGTAGTCCTGTTAATGACTAAGGCCGACATATTCCTTAGACACTGTTGTTAATTATTAGCCGATACATACAGCTAATGGAAACTAAGGGACCTACAGTTTATAGTGGAATCCGAACCACATTTTTGCCTTGGTATACGAATTGGTCTAATAGTTTTACAGCAGTCAGTAAGTTTTAAGAGGTTAACTGAAAAACTTATAAAACATTTAAAACCGTGCAACTTCTATAAATATTTATTCAACCAATCAACAACAGGCAGCAAAAGCTAAACAAATAAATATACTTGTAAAAACTTAAAATACTATTTTTACATCTTACATACATTATTTACAGACTAATTATTATTTTATTCACAAACTAATACTAACTGGGCTTGGCTTGAATTGCTTGTTTGGCCTAATATAAAAATATGTATTTCTCAAATAGTGTTATTCCTTAATTAAAAGTTACCAAAAGCTTTTATAATTATTTGTCCATGGTCAGCGACAGCAGTGCAGTGCAATTCATAATGTTGTAAAACTATTAATGACTAAATTACTTGGAAAACATCTGTTGTCTTGGACATTTTTTTCTTTTAAAATTTCCATTTCACTGATTTCAATGTTTGTTACATTGAACAGATTGAATTTGATTTTAGAACAAGTTGAAAATAGCTATAAACATTACAAGTAACATAGTTGGTAGAATTTGGTTTGAGCTGCCAGTTGGAACCCCAGCTACATTGATTTGTTTTGTTGGTGTCATTTTCTCAGATACAGTTTCATTTGTGACACTCCTGACAGCTTCCAGTTGCTCAGAGTTCAGTGCTGCCAGCTGGTGATCAGAAAGTGAGAGGAGCGTCATTGTTGGGATCATCCTTATCTGCTGAGGACTCAGGGCCTGTGGGGAAAACAGCTGTTGCAATACACAAAGTGAAAAAAAAACATAACATCATTTTATACATATGTCAAAGAGAATGATCAGAAACGTTTTCATTGTTTATCAGTGGTGTAACTAGTCTTGACTGCGCCCCAATGCAAGTATTTCCCCGTGTGCCCCTACTAGTAGACTCATTGTCCCTCCCCCCCCCCCCCAACAACCACCAACTAAAATAACAACAACATTTCTCCGTACTTCCACACTTCCTGGATACTATTTCACTACACACGACATTGTACAAGCTCTATCCAATCAGAGAAAGATAATTCAACATGATATCATATCGCAAGCTACAATATAATGTTCATGTTCCGTTTCTCAAAATTTGATTAATTTTATTATGATGCATTCTTACAGTCAAAGAGCTAAAAATAAAAAAAAATATGCATTTGACTACTTTTTATAATGATACTAGCTGACCCGGCGAACTTCGTATCGCCTAAGTTATAGGTTTCCCCTAAGACAGACCGATGGAAAGAAAGTACCGTTACGTTTAATTTTCAAGATGATCTCGTTCGCATCGCTCAATCACGTCCTGGTTGAAGTTCGTTCGCTACGCTCACTCACCTTTGGGTTGGAGCTCGTTCGCTACGCTCACTCACCTTTAGGTTGGAGCTAGTTCGCTGCGCTCACTTGCCTTCAGGTTAGCTCGTTCGCTACGCTCACTCGCCTCTCTCGTTCGCATCGCTCAATCACGTCCTGGTTGAAGTTCGTTCGCTACGCTCACTCACCTTTGGGTTGGAGCTCGTTCGCTACGCTCACTCACCTTTAGGTTGGAGCTCGTTCGCTGCGCTCACTTGCCTTCAGGTTAGCTCGTTCGCTACGCTCACTCGCCTCCAGGTTGAAGTTCGTTCGCTACGCTCACTCACCTTTTGGTTGCAAATTAGCTGTTGTCATAAATGTAAAAGAAATAATAGTGCTGCACCCTGTTGGTAATCCTTGTAACTTTAAGGCTATTGAACATCATAGAACAGAACCAACTTGTTTAATTGAAACAGCTGTTAAGATTCATTAATTCCATTTCTCATAAGGTTAACATGGGAAACTCCAGAGCCACTGGGGCGGAGCCCTTTTAAGAATTTCGAAACGGGAAATAGTTTACGTCCGATTCGCATACCTACAGAATTTACACACCAAATTTCATAACGATCGGTGAAGTCGTTCTGGAGGAGTTTGCAGACAAACACTGTGACACGAGAATTTTATATATTAGATATAGTATTTTATAGCTGAAAATAATAATAAAATTTATATTTTTATATTATTTTGATTTTTAAAATGTATATTTTTATATGTATTTAGGATTAGGATATGTTTACACTATTTTATATATTTTCAAATAGACGTACACCTGCCTGAAAAAATATTAGACTATTACTTTCTCCCCCTATACCATAGTATATGGAGAAAGTATTGTTTTCGTCAAAATTTTCGAGTTTGAGTTTTGAGTGGATATATTTGTTTTTGGCCCCCCTGGACCCAAAAAAGTGGTTTTGGAAGTGATGTCTGTGTGTGTGTGTGTGTGTGTCTGTGTGTCTGGATGTGTACAGAGCTAGGGACTACACCTGTGGTCCGATTTCGATGAAATTTGGTATGTAGGTTCTAATCCATGGTATCTCCAGGCGTTTTTTTCATTTTTTTAAAATTTTGATTTTTAATGGGGATTTTCCCATAAAAACCAGAAAAATTGGATTTTCTCCAAAATGGCCGAAACGATTTTGAAATAATTTTAGTACGTTGTAGCCCTTTAAATTCTGAATAAAATAGTACAAATCCCGGTTCAAAAGTTATGGTAAATTATGTTATTTTCCCATAAAAACCCCATAAGTTAAAATAACGAAAAATAGGATTTTAGAAAAAATCTGGTTTTATTTTAACATAGTATGTTATGGTCCTTAAAGTTTTGATAGTTTTTCAATTTTAAAAATTATTTATTTTTAATGGGAATTTTCCCATAAAACCACATAAAATAATGGAAAAATAGGATTTTCCCAAAAACGGCCCGAACGATTTTGATAAAAAATTTGTATGTTATCCTATACTCTAATACGAGCAAAGTTTGCTTGTATGTATGTATGTATGTATGTATGCTTGCACCAAGATCTCGAAAACGGCTCCGACGATTTTCTTCAAATGTTGTATATAGTTTATTTCTGGCCTAAAAACGAGTTTACTGCAATTAGAACTGCCATCAAAAATCTAATTACGTAGAAAAATGAAATTGAAAATCACATTTTTTTAACATTAGTCTTATGGGTTGCTAGGTAACCATGTTGGCTGAATTAAATAACAAGGAAAAAGTAAACAAAAGACTTGTAGCTTGTAATTTGTCTATCCACAGTATACTAGCAAAACAAAATGCAGTACAAAAGGAAAAACATCAGTTGTTACTATTGAGCAAAGATTATACTGAAGATTACTAGATTCTATAGTCAAGGGTAGCAGTGTAGAGTGTGGGATCTGTTTATGACGATTAGATTACGGTATCTGCAATCCTTAAATGCTATGGAAAGGGAGGAAAACAGGTCCACGACATAGGAAGTGGTGAAGGAAGTAGTAAAGGCGAGCAGTCTGGAGTGTGGGAACTGTTTATGACAATTAAATTAAGGTATCTGCAATCCTAAAATGTAATGGGAGGGAGGAAAACAGGTCCATGACGTAGGAAATGGGGAAGGAAGTTGTAAGGCTAGCAGTGCAGAGTGTGGAAACCGTCTGTGGCATTTATGTATCTGCAATTTTAAAATAGTATAAAGAAGGAGGGCAAACAGGTCTACGACATAGGGAGTGGTGAAGGAAGTAGCAAGGGTGAGCAGTCCGGAGTGTGGGAATTGTTAATAACGATTAAAAAAAGTTATCTACAATCCTAAAATGCTATGGGAAGGGAGGGAATCAGGTCCGCGACGTAGGAAGTGGTGAAGGAAGTAGTAAAGGCGAGCAGTCTGGAGTGTGGAAACTGTTTAATAGGATTAAATTAAGGAATCTGCAATCCTAAAATCCTATGGGAAGGGATGGAAAGAGGTCCGCGACGTAGGAAGTGGTGAAGGAAGTAGTAAAGGCGAGCAGTCTGGAGTGTGAAAACTGTTTATGACGATTAGATTAAGGAATCTACAATCCTAAAATGCAATGGGAATGGAGGGAAACAGGTCCGCGACGTAGGAAGTGGTGAAGGAAGTAGTAAAGGCGAGCAGTCTGGAGTCTGGGAACTGTTTATGGGAATTACATTAAGGTATCTACAATCATAAAATGCTACGAGAAGGGAGGAAAACAGGTCCATGACGTAGGAAATGGTGTAGGAAGTAGTAATGCTAGCAGTGCAGAGTGTGGGAACCGTCTGTGGCATTTATGTATCTGCAATTCTGAAATAGTATAAAGAGGGAGGGCAAACAGGTCTACGACATAGGGAGTGGTGAAGGAAGTAGCAAGGCTGAGCAGTCCGGAGTGTGGGAATTGTTAATAACGATTAAAACAAGTTATCTACTATCCTAAAATGCTATGGGAAGGGAGGGAATCAGGTCCGCGACGTAGGAAGTGGTGAAGGAAGTAGTAAAGGCGAGCAGTCTGGAGTGTGGAAACTGTTTAAGACGATTAGATTAAGGAATCTGCAATCCTAAAATCCTATGGGAAGGGATGGAAAGAGGTCCGCGACGTAGGAAGTGGTGAAGGAAGTAGTAAAGGCGAGCAGTCTGGAGTGTGGAAACTGTTTAAGACGATTAGAATAAGGAATCTGCAATCCTAAAATCCTATGGGAAGGGATGGAAAGAGGTCCGCGACGTAGGAAGTGGTGAAGGAAGTAGTAAAGGCGAGCAGTCTGGAGTTTGAAAACTGTTTATGACGATTAGATTAAGGAATCTACAATCCTAAAATGCTATGGGAATGGAAGGAAACAGGTCCGCGACGTAGGAAGTGGTGAAGGAAGTAGTAAAGGCGAGCCGTCTGGAGTGTGAAAACTGTTTATGACGATTAGATTAAGGAATCTGCAATCCTAACATGCTATGGGAAAGGAGGGAAACAGGTTCACGACGTAGGAAGTGGTGAAGGAAGTAGTAAATGTGAGCAGTCCGGAGTGTGGCAACTGTTAATAACGATTAGATCAAGTTATCTACAATCCTAAAATGCTATGGGACGGGAGGGAATCATGTCCGCGACGTAGGAAGTGGTGAAGGAAGTAGTAAAGGCGAGCAGTCTGGAGTGTGGAAACTGTTTATGACGATTAGATTAAAGAATCACCAATCCTAAAATCCTATGGGAAGGGATGGAAAGAGGTCTGCGACATAGGAAGTGGTGAATGAAGTAGTAAAGGTGAGCAGTCCGGAGTGTTGGAAATGTTTATGACGATTAGATTAAGGTATCTACAATCCTAAAATGCTATGGGAATGGAGGGAAACAGGTCTGCGACGTAGGAAGTGGTGAAGGAAGTAGTAAAGGCAAGCAGCCCGGAGTGTTGGAACTGTTAATGACGATTAGATTAGGGTATCTGCAATCCTAAAATGCCATTGGAAGGGGGAGAAACAGGTCCGCGACGTAGGAAGTGGTGAAGGAAGTAGTAAAGGCGAGCAGTCTGGAGCCTGGGAACTGTTTATGGGAACTACATTAAGGTATCTACAATCCTAAAATGCTACGAGAAGGGAGGAGAGGAAAACAGGTCCATGACGTAGGAAATGGTGTAGGAAGTTGTTATGCTAGCAGTGCAGAGTGTAGGAACTGTCTGTGGCATTTATGTATCTGCAATTCTAAAATGGTATAGGGAAGGAGGGCAAACAGGTCCACGACGTAGGGAGTGGTGAAGTAAGTAGTGAAGGTTAGCAGTGTGGAGATTGGGAGTGGATTAATGTATCTGCAATACTTTTCAGAGTAAAGTAATAACTTTCCCCGAGCAAAGCTCGGTCCCCAGGTACTAGTCCTTTATATTCTGAACAAAATGGTACAAATACAATTTCTGTAAAAATTATGGTTCAAAAGTTATTGTAAAAAATGTTATTTTCCCATAAAAAAAACCCCATAAAATAGCGGAAAAATCGGATTTTCACAAAAATGGCCCGAACGATTTTAATAAAAATTTAGTATGTAGTCCATTAAATTCTGAACAAAATTGTACTAATCCCATTTCCGTATATTTACTCTCACCGCTTACACATGATAAAGGTTGTTGACAAACTTATGGGAGAAAGTATGTGTCAGAATACTGATACCGTTTATTTTTTTATTTTGTTTTATAGTATTTTATAGCTGAAAATAATATAAAACATATAATGTATGTAAAATTATATATTTCATATGTATATGTATTTAGGACACGTTTTCACTATTTTTCATTAAAATAGTTAAATAGCTGCCTGTATTACGTAAATATGAAATCATTCAAGGAACATAATATTTTGATGTACAAATTTAAATATTATATGTATATATTGTAAGTATAAATGGTTAATTTTTTAAAAAAACAAAATTTTCAAATTTCATGGATGACGTACCAGTCAGTACGTCAGCCGTTATACTGTACATCACTGAATTGACATACTGGTACGTCATCCGATGCAAATGGGTTAATTTCTCTTCCCTGATAAAACCCCTACAGCTCTTTGTTTATAAGAACAGGCTTGCCAACTTTTCTATATCTAAAGACCAAGCTCTTTCATGTTCAACACTAATCAAACTAAGATTAAGATTCTTAAAATAATACTGAAAGATTTTATCTGTCTCTATCTTTGTAGCTAACAACGAAAAATAAACAAGAGCAGTCTATTCTTGTGATAAGCGCAGATGTGCACTGTCGCACTGAGGAGATAACAATAATAGTAAACAAAAGAGTCACCAACATTATGTTGGGACTGTAACGGATTTTGCTGCAACATATTTTTTGCTAAACATTTTCCAGAACAACAATTTTTTGCGCCCCCCTAAGGCCTGTACCCCAATGCATGGCATTGGTTGCATTGGTGTTAGTTACGCTACTGTTGTTTATTTGTGCCAGTGGAATTTTCTGTCCAAGAATCACTAACGCTTATAAGAAAAATCTGTCCAAAAAAATATAAAAGGATTAATTTACCTTTTGCGTCAATTGATCGTTGTGTTTTAAAATAACTACAGCTATTTCGTGCTGCTAAGCGAGCACACCATCAGGTTGGAAGAACGTTAAACTACAGTTTTCTCACCAAGTTTTTTATTGTAAATACGGTACTTAATGTTGTTTCGTATGTGTTTCATGTTATGTGTCCTAAATGTGCTGATGACCTCATTCACAGATGAGGTTATTTAAAAATAACCTTTTCAGAACAAAAACTGAATTTTTATTTTCTATAACTAATAATTTGCTACGATTGTGGATGATGATGGTGATGTTCCTGTGATTGCAGATGTTCACAATTCCTGTTACTATGAGGAAATTCGGCATTAGGTAAAACTCGTTCTCTGATTTACCTCGTGCTTAAGACATTTTGTTTGCATTAACATAACAAAACTCCTGATGTTAAACCACCAACTAAGTTTTGCCCTCACATGTTTTGTTATGCTTACTCTATGGTTTTAACAAACAGAAACAGGTTGCTAATTTTGAATCAATATATGAGACGCATCACACACGTTTCAAACTTCCATAACTAAAACAAACACATGTAAGAAACTCACCCCTGAGTCCCACTTGAATCTAAATTTTGGCCAACCAAAACAAAATGGTGGAATGTCAAAATAATAGTGTTCTTTTTAAAATTAATTTTATTTGTAAAACCACTTCTTAATTTTTTATGTTGTTTCAAAACTAGTAGTATGCTTATTCTGCACGTAACGGGATGAGTGAAAGTAACAATGGGCGAGTCCGCCAAATCTCAGTTAACAACAACCATAACTTCTTGTCCATTAAATAACCGAAGTTATTGGTATAATTTGTGGTAGATTTCCAACAATTATTGATAGGTGGTATATCCATCGTTCCTGTACAAAACGTCTTTTGTAAATTCATCTCTACACAATAGTTTAACCAACGTTAGTTTTTAGAAATGTTTCCATATTTGTTATTTAGGCCTATCATAAACAAAACAAAGTCAAACTGAACTAATCTAACTTAACCTAATTGCCGCAGCACAGTGTAAAAGAGTCTTCTTAAAAATATCGTATGGCTTAAAAAGATTATGTATAATACACACAAACGATCAACCAATTACTATATTATATCACCTAAAAATTATTGACAATCCTCCACAATACTTTATCTTTGACTAGTTCCTTCAGCACTTCCTACGACCTGTTTCTCTCCCTTCCCATAGCATTTTAGTATTGCAGATACATTAATCTAACTGCCACAAACGGTTCCAACACTCTGCACTGCTCGCCTATACCACTTCCTATGACGTGGACCTGATTCCCTCCCTTCCCATAGCATTTTAGCATAAAAATAGACCAACATTAAAGTGAACAATGTAAAAAGCTTCCTAATAGTAAATATATACATACATATTAGTGATGTAAAGCTGAGTTTTAATACTGTATATAACTGCCAACTAATATTGTAAAGTTCAATTTATTATTCTGGAAGTTGTAGAACTATAATGACATATATTCATAGACGTCAAACTAATTACTCCATGAATGAAAATGTTTAGAAAAAGTCATCGTCTTTGTCTAAAAAGGCAACAAAATTGTTGGTCGCAAAATGTAAACAAATAAAAAGAAGAAGAAGGTAGCATCCAATGTTGTTCTTTTGGGACAAATTTAAAAAAATGTATTTTTAGGGTTTTATAATTACTACCGGTACTGAGTGGAATCGTCTGGAATTTTAATGGTATCTTCCCACTGGTGCCATAATAATTTGAGCAAAATTTGAACGCTATTAGTGCAACTTTTCTTGAGTTTTAGACCCGAACACACAGACAAGCAGATAACTAATCTCCAACTCTGCTATACACGATGCATAGATTCATTCACTCTATTAAAGAGATTGGGCAGTGGTAAATTGTACATGAAAGTTATTTGGTACATTCTTCTTTCAAACTGATGTTAAAAAACGGCTATGAACTTTTTTTATCATGCTAGCAAATCTTTTTGGAAATTTTGTTATTATTTTGCTCCGCCATTTTGTCCAGAAACAAATTTAAGTAGGATATTTTTTACACATGTATTTATTATAACCATACAGTTTCAAGTTTCAATACGTACTGGTATATTAATTTAAAAATAGAAACCTCTTTGAAGGACACCATGTACAAAAGATTTTGGTAAATTTATTTTATATTTTATAATGAATCTTTAAGATTTAAAAATCTAAAGCAAAGTGTCAGGAGTTGGGGTACCTCTAGGTGAGAAGCATTGAGACACTTCACAGCAGAGGGCCGGAGTCCAGCTAGAGGTTTGTGTCTAGATGCTGCCAATTGCTTCCAGCTGTCCAACTCTAAACCTAAAACAAATTTAAAAATGTTTCATTGTTCTTATACTGTTAATAATAAATACACATATCGTACAAGAAGCTATTTGTTACCAACATTGTGTAATAGTTTGCCAAAAACATAGGTATACATTATTCAAGGTATAAAACTAAAAAAATTTGTTATGTCCAAGTAGTAAAGGTTTCTAGAAAACTCGTATTTATTGTTATTGTTAAACCAAAGTACTACAGGTTGAGTCTTACAATGGTCTTACTATATGTTGCTATTAATCGTTCAGTTATTGTTATTCTTTATCTTTTATATATACTAGCTGTACCCGCGGGCTTTGCCCCGTTTAACTTCTTAATTTTCAAGATGAGCTCGTTCACATGGCTCAATCACGTCCTAATTGAAGTTCGTTCGCTACGCTCACTCACCTTTAGGTCAGAGCTCGTTCGCTGAGCTCACTTGCCTTTAGGTTAGCTCGTTCGCTATGCTAACTCGCCTCCAGGTTGAAGTTCCTTCGCTACGCTCACTCATCTTTTGGTTGCAAATTAGCTGTTTTCCTAAATTTAAAAAAATAATAGTGCTGCACCCTGTTGGTAAACCTATTAACTTTTTAATGCTATTGAACATCACAGAACCAACTTGTTTAATTGAAACATCTGTTAAGATTCATTAATTCCTTTTAAATATGAAAAATCATAAGGTTAACGTGGGAAACTCCAGAGCCACTGGGGCGGAACCCAAAAGCCCAATCAGAATAAAAACTACTTAGTTTTCCTATTTAATGCCCAAAGAATCGGTGTACCGAATTTCAGCCTCCTAGGTAAATGGGAAGTGGGATAATTAGTGATGAATGAGTGAGTCAGTCAGTGAGGGCTTTGCCTTTTATAAGTATAGATTAATAATTTGTTATATGTAATACTAGCTGTGTGCCCGTTCTAGACACGGGGATCTTGTAGTAAGTTGAAACCTTATATTCAAAACAGGAGTTGGTTTGCATATTTAGTGCACATTTTTCCAGATACCTATTCTGGCAAAACTATTACTGTATAGGAATACATATAAACCTTTGAAAATACAATATCTGACAGTTTCAAGCCAAAGTGAATTATGCTTCAAAATTAAAATGTCCCCCGATCGTGTTAGTCCATGTTTTATATCCAATGATAAAAAGAATCGCTTTATAGATCTATGAGGCATAGCCCTACGGGGAGCGCGGCAGTGGTCCGAAAGTCAGTATTCCGAAAGGCACTGGTCCGAAAGAAATTACATGGTCAGGCACTGCTTCGAACGGTATAAGTTCGAAAGGCACTGGTTCGAAAGTCACAACTCCGAAAGTCACTAGTCAGAAACATTTTGTGCATCCAGGCACTGGTCCGAAACAATATGTGCATCCAGGCACTGCTCCGAAAGTTATAACACCGAAGGTCACTAGTCAGAAAAGAATGCAAGGGTAAGGCGCTGGTCCGAAAGAATGTGCGTGGTCAGGCACTGCTTCGAAACGTGGTTTCCCTCGCAGCGAATGGGAGGAGCTATACAGGTGTGGAGTGAGAGCAGCCTCCCGTCCCCCCTACCTCTTGACATGCCCCTACTTTTTGGCGCGGCGACGACAGTGTCGGTTAGTCACTTCTCACTTCACTCAATCACTCTACGTTACCACCAGGACCAGGACCAGGGGGATTTGACATCGGGGATACTCCCCAGGATATATTTTCCTTAACAATCGCTCATGTTTTTAGTGAAGGAATTATTCCGTATAAAAAAAAGTGTAACCTTGATAAAATTGTACTTAAGGGTGCGCTCTACATCAGCTCGTATTTCTCAATACGTAGTTGCTTAACGCCGATGTTCCTATAGCTACCATTGCATTGAACAGCGCCATGAAGAGCGCTTGCAATCCTTTCGAATCTGGGTCATTACTTCGTCCTTAAACTTTTTAATAAACTAACTGCAGATTCTTGTGTTTCTCTAAAAATTATTTGTATGTGTTAAAACTTATCATTGAAAAACACGTAGCCTACGGAATTTTTACATTTTTACCAATCTTTGAGCCTAAAATAAGCTAAAAACCTACAATAACATTGACGAAATATATGACACCAAGATCTTAGTTCACCAAAAAATAGTTCTGTTCTAAAATAAAATCATTATAAATTATTATAAAATCAAACTGTCATATAACCTAACCAAACTTGCTGATAAAGGAAAAATCGAATAAAGGTTTACTAATAGAAAAATCATTCTGTTCATAAAATAAAATTATAAATTCCTTAAATTCCAACAAAAGATGTACGGTTAAGAAGTATTCTAAGATAAATCTTTGATTACAAGTTATAGACAACAGTGTGAATCGAACCGGCAACCCAATCTCGGGGTAACGTAGTACAATCACCGCTGCTCTTTTGTTATTCATCAGATTGAAATATTTGAATGCCAATTGCGTTCGCTACGGTGCCGCACCGGCACGCTGAATTTTTATTTCAGGATTTGTGTTGCCTTCAGTATTATTTTGAGGCTTCTGATTGGCTGAGGGAACATCATTACCGCGACGATACATTTGATGCCATCGGCCTCGGTGGTGAAGTGGATAGAGTTGGCTGATGATCCGAAAGACCCGGGTTCGAATCCCACCCGTAGCACTATTTTTTTGTATTGGATTTTTTTCATTATCAACAAGTTTGGTTGGTCTGGTTAGGTTATGACGGTTTAATTTTATAATTAAAACATTATGAAATTGAATTTGACCCATTTATAGTTTTATTTTATGAACAGAAATATTTTTTTTCGGTTAAACCTTCATTTGATTTTTCATTATTAGCAAGTCTGGTTAGTTTGGTTAGGTTATGATAGTTTAATTTTATCATAAAAAAATTATAAAATAGGATTTGAGGCATTTATAATTTTATTTTATGAACAGAACTACTTTTTCGATTAATAAACCTTCATTAGATTTTTTCATTGTCAGCACGTTTGGTTGGTTTGGTTAGGTTATGACGGTTTAATTTCATAATAAAAAAATATAAAATTGAATTTGAGGCATTTATAATTTTATTTTATGAACAAAAATAATTTTCCAATTACTAAACCTTCGTTATAGTCAATCAGAAGCCTCTAAATGACACTGTTGGCAAAATTAATCCTGAAAAACAAATTGTGCCACCGGCACACATTTCACCTGCATGTCCCTTAGTAGATTTATGCTTTTGATTCGGCTGTAGATAATTATTAAAAGAAATGATTAAGAGAACTGTTCCCGGTTGGGTGTATCGTAAATGCAAATGCAATTATCTGCTTGCAATATTGAGTGGGCAAGCATTTTAATCCATTCCAAAGTCAATGCTACATCTGTGCAGGATCATAAGTCAAGTGTTAAATATAGGGGTCTGACTTACGGGAAGTATAAGTGAGGCAACGATGGCGTCATAATTTAGTTCAAAATTCCTCCGTGAACAGTGTTGTAGTAGAGAACACAGCATAATATTTACTTCAATATTAGTTAATTATATAATTAAGCTTAAAATTGTTCTATTATTAAATTAAACTGTCATAACCTAACCAAAATAACCAAACGTGCTGATAATGAAAAATTCTAATAAAGGTTTACTAATCTAAAAATTAGTTTTGTTCATAAAATAAAATTATAAATGCCTAAAATTCAATTTTATAATTTTTTAATTATGAAATTAAACTGTCATAACTTAACCAATCCAACCAAACTTGCTGATATGAAAACTATTTTGATAAAAATTTGGTGCTGCCGGCGGGATTCGAACCCGGCACCTGCAGATTTACAGCCCAAAATGTTATCCACTACACCACCGAGGCCGATGGATGGAGTCCGTATCGTTGCGGTAATGGTGTTCCCATTACCGCGTATTCCCGTATTAAAAATACTGGCGGACAGTACGAAAATGTACAATAGATAATGATTAATGACAATACTGTTGGTATGGCACTTAAATGCCACCTACAAGTCCACCCACACTTCCAAGAGGGTCGTGGCATTACCACGTAGATAAACTCCATTTGTTATTGGTGGGATTTGAACCCGTGCTATAAGACTCCGGAGCCCCAGGTCTTACCATTAGAACATCTCGCTCCCCAGTAGATATCTAACTAAACATTTTAGTAAAATGTTATCCTGGATGTTTTTCTTAACTAAAAAAATTACAAGCGTAAATTATTATCAAAGGCTTCTTTGAAATTAAGAGTTATAAAACTAAACCATACTGTCACAAACCTAATGCAATTTAAAAGGTTTTGCATGTACTACATGAAACAAGTAGCCTACATTTTTACCTGGTTGTATATTACAATTTAACTTACAATTTAATTGACAGTTCGTATATCTGTAGGTCACAAGTTGACGTACTATACCTTGTTTATGTTTAACTGTGGCTCTAGTTAGCGCCTATAATCAACGATAGTGTAAATGGCTTACTGCAGGGAGAAAAATGATTTTCTGTACAGTAATTGGTGACCGATAGTACAAAGAAATAATATCATGTGGATCACGTTCCCTTTTTATATATGGTGTATTACATGCACTTGTTGTCAGTTAGCGTCCATCCATAATCAACGGCAGTACAAAGGGGTTTATGAAGAAATCAAACATATTCCCGTATTAAAATTACTGGCGGACAGAACGACAATGTACTATATAATATAATTAATTACTATACTGTTGGTATGATACTTAAATGGCCGGACAAGTCAACCCAACACTTCGACTTTCTAGATGGTGGCGTGTTGTCGGGGTAGCATCTTGACGACAGCCCCTTACTATTAGAAGAGAGTGTCAAATTTTGTTCTATATTCTCAGTTTTCTAATTATAATTCACTTTATTGATTTACTTTACGAGTTTACTTTAACATTCGAATTTTGTAATTGTTTGAGTACTTACAACTATTTATGTTTTACATATGTTAAGGGAGTTGAATTTTGATTGAATAGGCCTACCTACATTTTAAAATGTATTTAGATGTGTTTACTTCATTTTCTTGTAGCAGTAGCAATCGCTTTACT